CCCCAAAACCCCAAAACCCCAAAACCCCAAAAATACAGCTGAAAATTGAAGAAATTGAGCCAGAATGAGCCAGCTTAATTTTTACAGATGAATTAGACTTCTTCATAATACCTCAAAAAATAGGAAATCGAGGAACGCCTTTTTAGTCAGCTCAGCATATTTGTAGGTTATCTTACGGCCGATTTGGATCTTCTCTTTCCGTTGTTCGTCGGAGAATCCACTTCCGACTTTGAACTTAATGCCGTACTTGTTCTGGACGATGACAGCACCCATGAGGTCTTTGTACTTCCCAGTCCCGTTCTCGTAGTCTATGATAGTTGCTTCATCATCGTGGAAGTCTTTTACTTTAAGCATAAAGTTGGATCGTTTGGAAAATTCATAGAAAGAATCTGGGTCTCGAAGGATAAGACCTTCTCCGCCTAACTTTCTAATTTTTTCCATCTCAAGTTGAACCTCTGCAGCGTTTACACAGATTTTGTGCTCGTGGAGAGTGAGATAACCATCATCAATGTTTTGCAGGAGGTCTTTGAGATATTCCAGTCTTTGCTTAAATGTGCCAGGATGCTGAGGAGCATCAAATATTAGATATTTTACCTTATACCATCCTTTATCAGCAGTTTGAGCCCGTACTACAGAGTGGCATTCATGAAATCGATTTCTGCCAATCCAAAGCTCTCCATCAAGGTGTACTCCTTCAGGAAAATTTTCTCTGAATTCAGGTGGCGGGTTGAATAAATTCCCATTCCGCGTCCTAAAAGTCTTGCCATCAAAATAACATCTTAAACCATCTAATTTCTCGCTCATGTACCATCCGTCAATATTCTGGCTGCCATCATACTTCCCTGCTAGCATGACACCTTTAAAATCCATGCCGTTGGTGACTGAAGTATTTGGATGTGGCTTGCTTGGCCCTGAGCTCAATGATTTATAAATCTCCTTTGCTTCTCTTTTCTTGGTGATATTATTATGCTTTAGCTTACAGATTTGCTTCTTCTTGAGATATCCAGTCTTCCTGCATATATCCCTCTTCTTCTGTATATTAAGCTGTTTCTCCCGTTTGGATTTGTTCTTGTTCAACGTATCTAACAACCCCATTGTGAGATTGTGGTTTCAACCAACAGTTATGGCATAGGGGTTTTGGGGTTTTGGGGTTTTGGGG